TCCGGATGCCAAGGCCGTGGATGGAACCACTTTGGCCGTGTTCTTGAGTTGCATGGCTTCCTTCTTCAACGAATGCTCGCCGTGCTGAGGTCAAGGAGCCGGAGGGACCACCTCCGAGAAAGTGCCGAAGGTGGCCCGTGGGGACCCCATTGCATGCATGCAAATTGGATTGTTTGCTGCTTCTCCTCGCTGCTGCTGCTGAGGCGGGAGCATCGAGCAGCTCTTGGGAGGTCGGTCTGCTATTGCGGCCGAGTTGTTTCGGTGCTTCTGAGATGTGACAGGGGTTGCCGATGATGGCTTGGGAAGCCAACTGGCAGGCCATGCTCACTTGGGCTCACGAGGGCACATGTGCATGCACACATCTAATATGAAATATATGTGTGTGTGTGTCTACATCTACATTTACATACATACATACATACATATACATACACATATACATACATGCATACATGCATACATACATATTATACATACATAATAGATAGACATTCTAATATATGCACATATACTTTCCCGATAGTGAACATTCAACATGCAATCCTGCCTGCGAGCTGATAGCCCTGCAGGCGAAGTAGTATATAGTCACATATACAAGGCAGTCTGTGTGTGTAGATATACACATAAATAATAGGGTTTGGTGTTTGGGCTTAGGATTTAGGATTTGTCCTGGTTCCGGTCAGCTGAAAGGTGGCTGTGCCCAATGCTGGCGGGATCCAGCAGTGGGGCAAGGACAGGGCCCCAGCTACTTTGGTTTGAGGTTTTTTTCCGTTGGTCACCGACTTGGATGCACGAGGGCTCCGGATACAAGGGGCAGCAGATGGTCAAGGCCGGTGAGTTTGTGGTGCCAAGCTCGTCTCGCAGGGCCATTGGCTCGCGAGCAGAGGGAAGCAACCATGAAGCTTGCAGGTGAAGGCACCGTGGGCAGCCACAGGCGCCAAGGCCGCAGGGCACCAGCTCTCCGGGTTCGTGGACTCGGAGGGCAATTGGTGGCCGCCGGGGGCCGGCAGGTGGGGTCCAGTCGAGGTTAGTGCACAGCGAACCCGTATTGTTCATGTTGCAGGACCCGCAGCCGGACTCGGGCTGGGCAGCAGGTTCAAATGGCCCGAGCCGCTCCTGCTGCCATTGCCCTGGCATCGGACAGTGTTTCGGCAGTTCGCGAGCAGGCGGGCTTCTGAAATCAGCAGTGGGTTGTGGCTCCGAACATAAGTGTTTCCGTGCTGCAGACCCAGTTCCAGAGGGATCTGCTCGCCTTCGCGATGCAGCACAAGCCCCACTGAGGCAGGCTTTCATGGCTTTGCAAATGATGACATGTGCCCCACCGGAGCCACCACCCACCACATCCCTGGTGCCGACATGCAGCAACACTGTGTAAATGGGACAACCAGCACTTTTATCGATCTATATGGGTGTGGTGGCCGGGGTCACCGCGGGAATATCGATCTATAAAGGCGGGGTGGTGGGAATGGCCCGGCCAATATCGATCTATAATTCTGGCTTGGCCGGGGAAACCCACCGGATATCGATCTATAAAAATGTGGCCGCCGAGACCAAACCGGGAATATCGATCTATAAAAAACTGGGTTTCAAGGTTCCGGGCCCTTGTGCCCCCCAAACTCAGCAAGCCTGGCTGTACAATGGTCGGGTTGGGCTATCGGGCCGGGCCCCTGGAGTGGGTGATCCATGACTCAACAACATCACGGCTGCCTCGCTTGTGCCTGTGTTCGTCTCGAGCCTTCCCGTGTTTCCTTAGACCGGCTTCATTCCAGATTGCAGGTGCCTGGGACATGGATGCCGTCTCCAAGTTTTGCATCCTTATATGCTTGGTTCTCAGACACCAAAACTTGGGCACCACGGGCATTGATGAAGCCTGCATGCTCTCGCAGGTCCTGGCCCTGTGGCTTCTTCCGCGATCTTCCTACTGAGCTCTGCCGGGCTGGAGCCTGGACCGAGACTGTGCTGTGGGCTTCTATGTAGACCTGCAATGTAGGTGGCCTGATACTTTAGGGACCTTCAGGCCTCGGCTTGTGGCTGCTGCCAGGAACATGTCATCCTGGCTCTAGCTTCAATATATTTAGTATACATATGCACATACACACATACACTCAAAACCTAAATAAATGGGCACGGTACATGTTCCCTGCTTGTGGCTGCAGCCGAGGCTATGGAAGCACTGGCATTTAAACTAGACACATATACATGTGCCAGCCCGTGTCTTGGTCTGGGTGGGCTCTTCTTGCTGTGGACTAGCCGAAATTGGCCCCGGGTCCAGCCCTGTATCCGAGCATGCAGTAGCCGTGTCGCGAGTCCGACTGCAAAAGATTCGGGATGTCTGCCGGCGAGCATGCACTGCCCTGCCCTGGCGATTTCCTTGTGTTGCATGCTGTGCATTGCAGTGAGGGCAGAAGAGACAAACGAGAGAAAACAGCACAGGGCACAGAACTATAAACATTAGCTTGCAAGGTAACCTGCAACTGTGCAGTCGCCTCCCCCTCTCTCTCTCATTCTCTTACACTCTATATCACTCTTCATTATATCCTTTATGTTCTTATACATATATATACTAACACTATAGAGCTATATGTATATGCATATATATATATACATACATACATATACAGATACAGACATATATATATATATATATATACACATATACATATATATATATATATGTATATACACATACATTGTTATAGTTTATACAGATACATACATATACATTGTAGACATAAGCTCTATAATATATGTATACACACATATTATACATATACATATATACATATATACACACACATATATATATATATGTATACATGTACACATGCATATATATATATATATGTATGCACTATAGATGTGAGTTGTATGGTTGCCACAATAAACATATGCTAAATACTGTATATACATGTATATAGGATGAATATATATGTATATATATATATATAGATAGATATATATATATATAGATAGATAGATGGATAGATAGATATATGTATGTGTATATATATATATACACATATCTACGAGTTGCTTGGTTGCTCGCTTGTTTCATTGTTGCTTCTCTGGTGTGCAAAACAAGCAATGACATTCGGCACACAGCCAACCAAGACACGAAGACACAACAATGACATCGTCGTCAGCCCTTGTTTCCGGATGTGGCATATTTCTCGGTACAAGTGGTCACCAGGACTGCATGTGCGGTCCTACATGATGTGCATGTGTGTTCTTGTTGTGCTTCTGTTGCTGTGCTTTCGTGTGTATCTATATACTGCTGCTGTCTTTGTGTGTCGCCATTGCTGTGCACGTCGGTGTCTCGCTGTGCCTGCATGCATGTGGCTGTCTTTGTGCACTGTGGGACTGCTTCTGTGTCTCTCTCTGTGAGTGTCATGTGTCTTGGCTTTGTGTTTTCATGTTCTCTTGGTGTCTTGCGATCGAGACGACACAGACAAAGAGACAGAGGCATGCATGACCGTCATGTATTGACACATGTGCCCAAAACAGGAAGTACAGAGACATGCACAACAGACATGCATTCAGATAAACCAAGCAGGCATGGGAGGGATCGAGGCAGGAGGAGGAGGGAAGCAGCCAGAGAGCCATGGATATATAGGAGGTGGGCATGGCTGAGGCAGCTTATATAAGGGGCCGGAGGGGATGGTGACTGGAGAAAAGGACGATGGAAGGAACAGGGAGTTTAGCTTCGGCTGCAAAAGACAAAGGAAACGAAGTGAGGATGCCGGCACACCACACATAAGACATGAGAGCGAACAACTTCAAATCATGTCCGGGTGTATCTAGTCTGTATACGGAACTATCATATATATATATATATATGTATATATGTATATATATATATGTATATATATATATGTATATACATATGTATATATATATATATATGTATATGTATATATATATATATATATATATATACTTTGGAGAAGGAGAAGCAAAAGCCAGAGACAGAAAGAGAGAGAGAGAGAGAGAGAGAGAGAGAGAGAGAGAGAGAGAGAGAGAGGAAGAATCCAACATTTCGCGAACCTGGCCCGCCGATATGTCCAAGCAAGGCTCAAAAGGATTGATTGCAAAGATCGGTTGCAGGGCTTCAAGCTCGCAAACAGATCGACATGTCTGCTGCCACAGCCATGGATCAGTTGAAGGGGGATTTGGCTGCTACAGCCAATTTTCTCCAGTCCATGACTGCACTCCCGAACTACGACAGTGTTAGAGAGGTGCAAGCAAAAGCCCTTTGCCAGCGAGTGAAGAACCTTGCCTCCGTGGATGCAAATGGAGCCTCAGCCCTGCTGGCTGCATGGACTGCAGGAAAGCAATGGACTTCTCCACAAACAAAGGAGTTCAGTGATCTCTTGGCTGGAGCAGTAGCTAGAACCAACACCGGGACAGGTCAGGGTGGCAAGAGAGCTACTCAGAAAGTTGATGCTTTCGAACCTTACCTGTCCGTCAAAGATATCCAGGCTTTGGAAGCTGGTGACAACATCCACGTGAAGTTGGATGTCTTGGCATGCCGGTGCATCAAGCTGAGGCTCACCTGCCCATCTGAGGCTTGCTGCAAAGCGATCTTGGCAGCTGGCTTGGCCAGGGCAGGCGGTGATGTGGGGGCGGTTGACAGCTATGCCAACAAGCAGTTGTTCAAGAAAATGCTGAAAAGCAAAGCCAAAGGCTTGCCCAAGAATGGCTTTCACCTCGAGCATTATCCAGCATCGCCAGACAATCTGCCCCCTGAGCTCGCCGATGCATACTCTCAAGAGGATCCTGCATGCACTGTGCAGATGCAATCTCCCGACAGGGTGCAGGCAGCATCATCTGCAATCGTGTTGAGAGGGAGCTCGAAGAAGCTTCGTGGTGGAAACATGATGGGTGCCGGTGGCATGCAGAGCTGGCCTGCAAGTGGCAACAACAACCCCATGAACATGCAATTCAACATGGGCCTGCAAGGAATGCAGCCCGGGATGACGATGATGGGTATGATGAACACCATGAACAACATGATGCAGAGGCTCATGCAGGACCAGAATAGGCAGCAGCAGGACCCGATCCCGAACATGCAGTACTTCGCACCCGGTGGAGGTCAAGCGGGGGCAACCACCATGGGCCAGGGGCCTGCAGCAGGAACCCAGGCACCTGCAGCAGCAACCCAGCAGGCACCCGCAGGGGCATCTGCATCGGTCCAGCAAACAGCACTTGTGGCGGCAACGAATGCATCAGCTGGTGTCTCGCCGGCAGTGCAGTTGGAGATGAGTGATCCTGAAAACGACGAGGCCGACGAGGCAGAAGTGTTGAGGCAGGCTGGGCTCGTTGCAGATGCAGTCAACAAGAAGAAGGGGATTCTTAAGAAGCCTGCAGGCTTGCCCAAGGCAAAGGCAAAGGGCAAAGCCGCAGCCAGTAAGGCCAGTGCTAAGGCCAGTGCCAAGGCCAGTGCAAAGGCCGTTGCAAAGGCCAGTGCAAAGGCCAGTGCAAAGGCCAGTGCAAAGGCCAAAGCCGCCCCGGCCGGTAGCAGAGAATACTATGCCAATCTTTCCATGAAGAAAAGGGTGAGCCTTCGCCCGAATGGTTGCAGCAAATGCAGATTCGCACCAGGCTGCAGGCCCAGCTGCTTCTGTAAGTAATAGCTGCTTGCCCGATTCAAATGACCGGCTCGATGAGTGGGGAACTCGTCGACTGCAGCACAGAGGGAGGAAAAGATCATCATGCAGGCATGCACTTATGCACATCATGTTGCCTCTTCTGCTGCATGTGTGTGTGTCTTGCCAGGCAGCATGTAAACCTGAGTGATCGGATCGGCTTGCAGATTGGTCTGATGCTGCATTGCAAGTATAAATATCTCCTGTATATATATATATATATATATATATATATGTATATATATATATATATATATATGTATGTATATTACATACTTACACACACATATATATATATATATATATATATACGTGATATTATATATTGGTAGATATAGTCCAGCCATTATAAGAAATTAGTTGTATTAGATCGTGTGCATACATTGTATCATACGTGCATCCAGAGGTTTTTGTTGTGTTGAAGAAGGTTTCGTGGGGACAAGGATTTATAGACAGGTTGACACATGTTGTATGTACAAACATATTTATTGTAAGAATTGTTACTTCTAATATCCGGTGCCTGCAGGGCATTTTGCTCGCGGGCAGCCATCTTTATAATCTATGTCGCTCGCTACCATCGGCAGAAAGCACTATGTGAGCCAGAGTGCTCTGGAGGCAGTACTGAAGGAAGTGGCTGCATGCCCTGAAGTCCTTGACTCAGCCTCCCGGCGAGGCATCAAAAGGGCACGGGATTCCGAGCTGGATGCAGAGACTCCTCATGGCCCTTTGGTGGCCAAGATTACAGTACCTGTGGAGGTGAAGAGCCGAAAGGCAGCTGGAGACGAGGAGGTGAAGATCGTGCCGACAGAGCTGCCGATCCTCAACCTGATGGCATGGATATGGCATGTTTGCCAGTCCATGCCTGGTGTAGCTGCCTTTTTCCAAAGGCAGCTATCGAAGTACCCGTGCACAGCAACCAGCCCATGGCGAATGGCTTTATACAATGATGAGATTAGTCCTGGCAACCAGCTAAAAGCCAGCAACACCAGGAAGATCCAAGGGTACTACCTCAGTTTTCTCGAGTTTGATGCTGAAGGCCGATGCCAAGAAAACCTTTGGTTTCCTTTGAACTTGACTCGGTCTTCGGTGGTGAACAAGATCCAAGGCGGGCTGTCTGCACTCACCCACATTCTGGTCTCCTCGGAATCGTTCCTGAACCTCCAGTCGGGCTGTTTGCTGAACATGCCAACCGGGGAACGGGTCATGTTCTTCGCGAAACTGCATACTGTAGTTGCAGACGAGGCAGCTTTGAAGTCTATGTACGACTTCAAGGGCTCCAGTGGGACTTTGGTTTGCCCGCTATGTGCCAACATAACAAGCAAGACCCACGGTGATCTGCCAGCAAATGACCACTCGGGAGAATTGCATGACATATCATGCATCGACAGCAATCTGTTTGTCCGCAGAACCGACAATCAGATCTTCACTGCACAGGCACTGCTGGCGAGAAGGCAACCCATGCTGAGCAAAAAGGATTTTGCCTTGCTGGAGTCCAGCATGGGGTTGAACTTTAACCCATCTGGAGTGCTTGCTCACAAAAGCATGCCGCTTGTGAAATGCTTGATGTGGGATTGGATGCATTGTTATGTGGTAAGCGGCCTCCTGCACGTGGAATTGAGCTTACTCTTGCCACTCTTGCATGTGCAGGGTGCAACATTTCAGGTGATCCAGAGCTTTATCTCAGAGTACGAATGGCCTCACAACCTGAAGAACCGGAGAAGAGAAATCTTGCATTTGTTCGACAAAAGGAGCAAACCTTCTGAGTTCAAGGCCGGGGCTTCGCAGTGCATCACTGTCTATCCCTTGCTGCGGCTTTTCTTGCTGACTCATCACTTTGACACAATGGACGACGAACTTCGGCGATGCATCAGATCCTTTATGAAGATTTGTATGGTTCTCGACCTCCTGCTTGAATGCAATCGGACTGGGAACCTGTCGCCGGACGAGCTCGAGAATGCGATTCGGGCCCATAGCCAAGCTTTCCTTAAAGCATATGGAGAGCAGCACTGTATACCGAAGTTCCACTACAGCCTCCATCTTCCCCTGATGGCTCGAGACAGGCCTCTGATTTCCTGTTTTACACACGAACGAAAGCATCGGCAAGTGAAGCAGTTTGCTGACAACACGAAGAAAGTGACCGACTGGTTCGAAGCTTCACTCTTTAAAGATGTTTTGGGCAGGGCTCTTCTGGATCTGTCTGAGCATGCTGGCTTCATGCGGCCCCATTTGAAGTCCCCCAAGTCTGTCACTGATGGCACTTTGCTGTGGCACCTGGGGCAGACATTCGGGTTTCAGACTCTTGAGCATGTGCAGTCGGCCATGCAGGCCGAGGTCTGCCCAGGACAGACTTGCGAGAGGGGTGACCTGGTGCTGCTTAAGACGGGGTCCGTTGCAGAGGTGTGGTTGTTTTGCCGGTTGCAGCATGGCGAGCTCCTGGCTCTGTTGAGTGTGCTTGAGCCACAAGGGAAGAATCTCTTCCGGGTCAAGCAGGACGGAGCCCAGTTCATGCGAGTGGCCGAGATCAGTCGAACCTGCCTCTTCAAACGCATGAGTGCAGACAGCATGCTGGTCGTGCCATAAAAAAGATTGTTGTGCATATATGCCTGCGAGCGAATCGCCCTGCATGGCGACACATGAATTGTCACAGTTTTCATGTTCTGATCCTGCCTGCGAGCGAATCGCCCTGCATTGCGACATTGGATTTTTCATCATCCTCATGGGCATCATCATGGTTTTAAGGTGCTGTTAGTAAAATGCTAACTTCGTTAACTGTGTTTGGCTAACTTCTGTAATTGTACCTTGCTAACTGCACTTAGGTCAATTGCTATGTTAGACTAGCCATCCCCACTAAACTGTACAATCGATTACTAACTTATGTATCTACTTATTAACCCACCGCCCTTAGAAGTACGATCCTACCTTGTTCCGTTTTCTACTGGACCAGCAAGCTGCTGCGAAGCAACAGTCGGCACCTTTGTTCAAGAAGCCCAGGGCCCAGAGCAGTCGACCAAGACAGCCTGCTTCAGCTACTTCCGCCCAGCAGCCACAGCCGAGCTCAGGGTTCCAGGGAGCTGCTAGCGCATCCAAGGATCCATCCAGTCTCTTTGTTGAGGAGAAGGACGCTGCTGTGCACGATGGTGGCCAGGCGGACTCCTTCATCCAGCTTGAGCCCGAGGTCGGTGTGATGTGCGCCATTGAGCTTCCCATCCCAGAGAACGAGAATCAGTGGAAGCGCCTTCGACGAGATCCCACGGTGTGGATGGCGAAAGGGCTGCGGAAGCAGGAAGTTCGATACGGCCGCCTGGACCCAAAGGCCAAGGAACAGTTTGACAGCGCAAAGCAGACCGAAGTCAACCAGTGGATCCGAGAAGCAGCGGCACGCCGTGTTCAGGGCCGCATTGCTCCGGATCGTTTGATGTCCATGCGCTGGGTACTCACGTGGAAAGACTCGGGAGCAGCTAAGGCAAGAATAGTCATTGTCGGGTACCAGGACCCGGACCTGGCGACGCTGGTGAGCAGCAGTCCGACAATGAGCAGAAGGACGCGACAGTTGGTGTACCAGCAAGCTACGCTGCGCAACTGGAAGACCATGAAGGCTGATGTTCGGGCCGCGTTCTTGCAGACGGCTCCGACTCAGATGTCACGGTGTGTCTTTGCGCGACCTGTGCCAGAGCTCGCGAAGGCTATGGGGCTAGCAGAAGGCGAATGTGTTCAAATCGCCAAGGCGTGCTATGGCCTCGTAAATGCCCCGGCCGAGTGGTTCCGTGACATCAACCGTACGCTGACTTCGCTTGGAATGGTCCAGCTCAAGACGGAGCCCTGCTGTTGGAAGTTTGTGAAGTGGACTAACGGTGTACCCCGCCTGGTCGGACTCATAGCAGCCCACGTTGACGACTTTGTCATCGCGGGAGATGAGGAGGACGCCGAATGGCTCGACATCGTGAATCGCTTCTATCAGAGCTATCGGTGGAGCCCGTGGGAGGTTGTTGACTACAACCACTGCGGCGTGGTCATCAAGGAGGGACACCGCGAGGTGATCATGGACCAGGCGAAATACTGCTCCCAGATCGACGAGATCAAGTACGAAACCCGGGATGAGGACTGCTTAGCCTCAAGCGAAGAAGTTGCCCAGCTCAGGGCGGCCTTGGGAGCATTGCAGTGGCGTGCTTACAGCACGGCACCGCAGCTGATGGTGCAGCTGAGCATGCTCCAGTCGTGCGTCAACAAGGCCAAGGTTCTCACGTCCAGCCAGCAAAACACGGTATCGACAGCACCTGTTCAGCTTCGGCATGCTACCTATGTACATCTGTCAACTAACTTCCGTAGACTCATGGTCCTCGCAAGTGCAACGCTGAGTTAGATCTCATCACATCCACCGAAGCCAAACCGCTGTTTCCGAAGTGGCTTCCCCAGCCAAGAAGGTCAGGGCGAAGTCCACTTCGCAATCTTTCAGGCGGCCTTCTGCAAGCTTTACAAAGTCTTGCAGCAAGGCCGCCCGACGGGTGGAATTGCGGTGAAACGCCGCCAACCCGCGGAAGTTGGTGCGAGAGGCTTTTCATGGCCGCTTCTTGCGCATGAAAGTTACTGGCCTCGACGGCATTCAGCCAGAGGACGTCTGCTTTGTGGCGTGGTCCGACGCTGCGGTCGGGAACAGGCCAGACTTTGGAAGCACAGGCGGGCACATTGTGTGTGCTACTACGCCTGCCATGCTTCGTGGTGAGCATGCCGCCGTCACTCCTGTGAGCTGGCGCAGTGCGAGATTGAAGAGAGTGGCGCGCTCGTCTTTGGCGGCAGAGGCTCAAGCCGCTTCTGAGGCGGAAGAGGAGCTGATGCTGATTAGGCTTCAGTGGAAGGAGATGTTGGGCTACAACGTCGACCTTCAGAACCCCGGGAAGGAGATCCAGGCGATCCCCGGCGTCCTTGTGACCGACGCCAAGAGCTTGTACGACGTGCTGCTGAAGGAGGACCTCAACTCAGCGGCTGGCGGTCTGAGTGAGAAGTACAGTGCTCTCGAGCTACTGTCTCTGAGCGAACGTGTTCGAGAAGGCAAGACCTCTGTTCGCTGGGTCAACAGTGACGCTCAGGTTGCAGACTCACTCACCAAGCCAACCAAGCCAGGAGCCCTTCACCAACTGTTGCAGACGGGACGTTGGCGCCTCTCTTACGACCCCAACTTCACGAGTGCCAAGCGCCTGAAGCAACAGCTGAAGTGACTTTAACGGCCGTTCTGCCTGTCTTCACCAGTGGGCTTTTGGGCGTGCTTTCTCCGAAGGAGAGACAGCCTCTGAAGAGTCATGTCTTGTGCAGGTTCCGACATGCAGCTCGCCCACTCTTTCTCCTGGCTGCGCTTCCTCTCGAGGGATCCCTTCAGCCTTGTGGCTTTTAGAAAGCCATGGAAGCTACGCGTTGAGCCGTGTGAGGGCTCGCAGGAAAAGACCGCGCTGCGGAACGAGTGCTGTGCTGGTGCGCTTGGAAGCAGTGCTTTGTGGTTTCAGCTCTAGGAGCTGTCGTGCTACCAACAGCAGGGGGAAGGATAGAAAGATGCAACTCGCAGATGCGCTCATCGCTAGCTCGGGCAGCGACCCGTTGCCAGCCGCGGAGAGGGTCGGCTGGCTCCTCACCTCGTCCCCGAGCAGGGGGTGCCTCGGCTCCTCCACTAACAGCGGACCATGCTGGTGCGTCGTAGCCGTTGTCACAGACGCGGGCCCGAGCCTGTGCCGCGGCAGCAGCGCACGGGAGTGGGACATCGGCTTGCAGCGCGCTGAAGAGGCGGTCAGCTGCGGCAGCGGCCCGGCGGCGGATGACGGGCAGTGTGTCGCACCACGATGCCCAATGCGCGGTGTGGCGGTCAGCGACAGCGGACCGCAGCCCAAGGCCTCCGAGTCGAAAAGGCAGCCGGGCTGTCGTGAGGCTGGTAGCGGGGATCGGCGCGTCCCCTCGTTCAAGCAAGTCGGCGAGGCAGTGCGCGATTGCGTCATCGTGTGCCTCGGCGAAGGAGGCGGTGAGGTGCGGGGGCAGTACTCGCAGCAAGTAGTTGGCGCGAGGGGAGGCGCAGGAGTGCAGTAACAGCCACGCGGCCTGCAAGTCCTCGAGTTGAGGGAGGCGCTGCAGCAGCTTGTTGTGTTCCTCCCGCTTGCGTTGCAGCTGCAAGGCGACAAATCGATCATGCCCGAGCGGGGAACCGAGGACTGTGAGCCCTTGGCGCTCAGGAGGCAGCGACCAGTCACCAACCCAGACTGGCGCGTCAGGGTCAGAGCCAAGGGCGGCGATGCCGGGCGGCTCCTCCCCGGCGGCGTTCCAGATGCGGGTTTTGCCTTCATGCAAGCGGACACGTGCGTGCTCCCAGAGTGCGCGCGCTAAAGCGTCATACAATGGCTGTATACGCTCAGGCTGCGCGATGATATAGGTATCATCGAGGAAAGCAAACGCAGCTTCTCCGTCCGCGAGCTGGGTCTGCAGTTGGGCGAGGGCTTCATGCTGCGCCAGGGAGTATAGCGCCGGCATGAGTGGATCGCCTTGTTCACCGCCCTCTCCCTGGCGAACCTCATGGGCCTGCCCCGAGTCGTCGAGCCACGTGTAGGTGCTGGGAGTCCCGTAGAACTGCCTCGCGTAGGGGAGCAGAGGCTGAAGAGCCGGCCGCGCGAGGAGCGCGCCTAGCATGGACCCCCTCGCGACATGGTCGAAAGCCCCCACGGCATCGACAGACAGCACCGTGGCGCGCGGTGAAGACTCGGTGGCAGCCCGCAGGAGCCGGCTGACAGCCTCCGTGCCAGCGCAGGTGCTGAGGCCGAACTGGTAGGGCAAGCATGCCTCCTGCAGGTGTGCGGCGAAGTGTTGTGCGAGGACCTTGCCGACAAGTCGGCGGAGGACGTCGCCGACAACCAAAGCACGGACGCGGCCATTAGGCTTGCGCAGCGCAACAAGGCGTCCGACTCGTATGCCTGCGAGGACGCAAGGGGGAACCCGCGCATTAACGAGACTGAGGGCAGCAGCGTGGAGGAGCCGGCTGTCCTCTTCATCATCAAGCAAGGTGCGGTGCTCGGCGGTGGTGCCAGACGGCCCGGCCGCAGAGCCGCGGCGGGCGCCGCGCAGGGCCGCGAGGAACGCGGGCATGGGCAAGGGACACTCATGCTCTGCTTGGAAGGCAAGCACCGCATCCGGCAAAGCGGCATACGGGTGCGGGGGGCGTTTGTCAGGGTCGGTGAGCTCGGCTAAAGTGTCATCGTTACCGGGCGCGAGTGGCTCGGCAGTGAGGGCGCGCGACGCCGCAGAGAGCTCACCGAGGTGGACAAGGGCGGTGGCACGGTGAGCGCGCGCTCCATCACTCGGTGGCGAGCGACCCTGCTGCGAACTGGGTGCTCCAGCGACACAGCCGGCGGCCTGCTCCAGCAGGTCAGCCTAGTCCCCAGCCCTGAAAAGCTCGCAGCAGCGGTCAAGCTCGGCTGCGGGAACGCTAGACTGGCCAGGCGAGCGGTGGAGGAGCATGCGAGGTGCAAGGCAGAACAGCTTCCACCCTCGCACCTCATGCTCGGGTGTTTCAGGGTTGACGATGCAGCGAAGGCCGTAGCGCATGGCTGCACGCAAGGTACCTCGCGTGCGCGAGGGGGCGGCCTGCAGCGTGAGGACACGTGTCTGGCACTGACCCTGGAGGCTGACAGCATCGAGGGACAAAAGGCCGCGCAACATGCTGTCAGCCGCAGCGCTGCTGTGCCGTGCGTGCAACACCTGCGCGCGCTGTGCCGTTGAGGGCGGTTCAGGGTCAGCGCGGGCCTCGCCCTGGCTTGCGAGCAAGTGGTCCGCAGGAGGTGGCGGGGGCTCACGAGCTCCGCGGCCCCGGGCGCCCCGGCCACGGCCTCTCCGTCCACGCCCACTTCCTCGTCGTGCACTGAGGGCAGCATGGGCGAGACTGGCATCGCCGTCCTCATCGGCGGTGGGTTGCTGAGGCACCGGGGCGTGCACGCTGGAAGTCTGAGGCGCCTCTGCGTTGACCGGCTCGGTGGCTGGGGCGGCCACAAGCACGGTTGAGGTCAGAGGCGAAGGCAGGCCCCCCATACAGCTGCAGGCATGCTTCCTGGCTCGCGGCCGGAATGTATCCGCCTGCCTGGGCAAGGTTGCGCACGGTCCAGCCGAGATGCACGAAAGCACCCGCGGGCAAGGCGGCTGCCTCACGCAATGCGGCCTCGGGGAGCGGGGCACCGGCGGCGGCGCTCGCAGTAATAAGCGCGTCCGTAAGGCGGCTCACAGAGACTGGTGGGGAGGTTGCAAGGGTTCGGCGTGCTGCATCCCACCATGGCTGCCCGCGTGGATCGCGGCGCCAACGCTCTAGGACAGGTTCTGGCATGTCCCCAGCAGCTGCATGCAGGAGGGGGACGTAAAGCCATGAGTTCGTGGCGAGCCTGTGGCAGTCGGAGGGCGGGCCCCAGGCTGAAGCAGGGGCGACGTTGTGCTGACCAGGGTCTCCGGCAAGCGCCTCTGGCGCTGGGACGGGGTTTTGTGGGCAAGGGCCACTTGCGGCCGCATTGGCGGGTGCACAGGCGCAGCGCAAGGCCCCGCTGCCGCGTCCGACGTCAAACTCCCAGACTTGTGGGCGACCGCAGTGCAGGCAGCACTCGCCGGCAGCAGCGGGGACGTCAGCTTGCTCCCAGTCCAGCATCTGCGCGCAGCGAGGGCGCGCCCACGATAAGCGCCAGGCAAGGATGCCTGCATCGCCCTTCACTGGCAGCTCACTGGTATGGGTGCCCACTGCATACTGCGATGGGGCAGCTCAACAAAGTCAACGTCGCCGCCACTACCCCGCACGGCTGCGAGTCTAGGGCAGCAGAAGGCCTGCACATGCTCCGGTGCTGGGGGTTCCACCGCGTCGTTGGCGGTGAAGGTGCGCGTGGCGTAGTCCTCAACCGCATGCCGCACTGTGGATGGGGCGGGCAGCCGTGCGGGCGCCTCTATCCCCCTGGCCAGACAAGCAGTGCGGAGCCACTCATCGTTGGCCGGCGGCCAGCCCTCGGCGGCGCAGACCGGGCAGCGCATGTCATGCGGGGAGCTGGCTTGAGCGCGCTGTTGCGAGAGGCAGGTGAGGTGCAGGCGGTGGCGCCTACACGTGGGATGGAGAACGCCAGATCCGGAACCGGTTGCCTCCGGCATGACGGCATCGAGGCATATGGCACAGGTCTGCACATCTTGCTGGAGTGGCGGAGTGTGGTGCACCGGTTGGGGGCTTTGCGGCTGGTGCTGTGCCGACGGCGTGGCGGCGCCAGGAGAAAGGGGAGGCGACAGGCTCGAGGCGCCGGATTCATGTGCTGTGTTCGGTGGAGTGTCATCCAACACCGTGACAACTGAAGCCGCGCTGCGCGCGTCGCCAGGGTCGGCGGCTGCCGAAGAAGGCGCGCGGCCACGTGACGAGGCGTAAGTGCGGGAGTTGCCGCGTGCGGCAGGGGAGGCGTCCCGCGAGCGCCGGGACATGCTGGCGCGTGACGTCAGTGTGGTTGGATGCGCACAGTTCCTTATCGGGCGCCAGCGCGGGTGGCGTGCTGCGAAAGGTGCTACGCCAAGGGCAATGTTGCCGCGGAGTCACTAGAGAAGGCGCGGAGGAAGAGCGCCGGCGGCCTCCCTCGAGCACGCGCGCTGGCGAAGCGGGAGTACGCGTCAGCCGTTCGCGTTAGTGAACTACCTCGCCGAAGTGCTTTTCAGCCTTGTGGCGACCCCTGTATCACAGCTTAAGTAGACACACGATGGGTTTGCAGGTGAACAGTCGACTCCTTTTCCCGCTGTTCGCACGGTGTGCGTGCAGTGCAAGGGTCGTGGGGGGGTCTGTACACAAGCAGGTCAGGAAGATGACTAGTCAGTGCGAGTGCTGGTGCCCGCAGTCTGACTGGCGCCGGGCGCGAAGGGGGGCAGCACGGGGTGCGCTCACAGCCTTCGCCCGGCGTCAAACAAGGCTCAGTGGAAGAGCCGCGTGGCCTGGGTGCAAGCACGGGCTCGGTGCAGTTGTATGCGAGTCAGGCTGGGCTTCAGGCGAACTCGCTGACTGGGGGCCTTCCGCGGCTGCCGTTAAGGCGCCGGCTGGAAGCGGCGGCTGCCTCTCAGGCCAAGAGCGGGTCCCGCCAAGCTGCGGTCGGGGCCGAGCCGCAGGCGAGATTCAGATGTTGGTTGGGGATGGCCTCTGGCGAGGCGGAGCAACGGCTGCAAATTGTACGCACTCGAACACAAAGCTGAA